GCGGGAGTCGGCGGCTGCGCAGTGCGAACGCACCAAGCCGCGCATTTCCTCCCTTCCCGGCAGTCCCCGGGCAGTGGTTTTAGTGAATGGCAAGCTGCTGCGGTTTGGCGGCTTTCCCCCCGGAGAGATAGCCAGTAGGAGCCGGGATTCAATTCTGCCAGAGCGAACAGAGGCCTCCTTCCCCGCTGCAGCTTGAGGAGAGCACTTACTGCCCCACCGGGACGGTCGTGAGGAGCCCAGTGGAGGGTGAGGAGTGGAGGAGCACCCCTGACCCCCCGATAGGGACTAAGCCCTGCTGCAGTCACAGCTGCAGACTCCGAGGACCCGGAAGAGGAGAGCGCTGCCCTCTGCCACCAATACCAACAGCGGGGAAATTTTATAATGGAATTGGGTGGGTATGCTGAGTTCTCCAGATTAACTGAGGCACTTGAAGTTAATACGCTGTTGAATGAAGTGTCCGGTCCAAAAGAAGCGGTCCTGGTCCTGGATGCCCAGCGCCTCGTTTGGCTTTCAGAGTTAGGTAAAGAAAAAGCAAATCAGATGTGCTCTAAGTCACTTGATTTAGCACCATTCCTTGAAGTTCTGTCTTGTCTAAGATTGTCCCTCTCACCTTATGATAACTTTTGGAATAATACCGGACAGGACTGGTAAACATCTTTAAGAGATTTTAGTCACCATGGCACCAAATCTCTTGTTCTTCAAGGCAGAGCCTTCTCTGCCAAAGTATTGACTTGAACGTCAGAAAAAAAAACGAAAGTGGAAGAGAGTAGAACCCTCACAGTTGGAAGATGTAGAGGAGGAGATAAAGAAGGGACAGAAAAAGAAGTGGAGAGAATCTTGGAAATGTTGCAAAATTAGTCTTGAAACACGCCTAAGACATCTCTCTTCTTTTTCTTAATGATTGATACAGAATTCTTTTTCTGTCACCGTAAAAAATAGTCATATATCGTATTTTTTTGATTTTCAGTACTGGAAGGAAACTGCAAAAATTTTAAATGTCAAATGCTGTGATCTTGTCATATTACAGCAAAGCCTGGGTTCTTCACAGAAGGTGAATTTTATTGTAAATGGATAATAAAATCCAAAGAGAGAGAAGTATATATTATACAATGAAACCTATGTTTAAAGTGTATCTGAAATAATATTATAATGTTTCTTTCTTGAGAGTTTATGACGATGCCAGTCTTATGTAGGAAATAAAAATTCACTGACACATTCATAAAAGGAAAAAAAGAAAAGAAACCAGTCCTTTCATTTTACAGATGAGGAAAATGTGACCAGAAAGAGAAATGACTTGACAAGGATCAAACTGAATCAGACCTTGAAACTGGAGTCCAGCCTTGCTCCTTGGCCCAGTTCCTCTCCTTGCTCTGGAGGAGCTCTTACCCCATTGTAACAAACACAATATGAGTTTGGCTCACAAATCTCTTCATCATACAGAAGTACTGGGGGAGATACAGGGATTGGTTCTTCAGGATCTACAGAGGATTTTAAGAAAATCTTAGTGATAGAGCTCTCCCTAAATCACCCAGGCTTCTTTGGGAGATCAAAATGGGTGAAATCCTTTTCTTCTTCTTCTTTTTTTTTGGAGTAGTTTAAACTACTTGGTTGGTTGGATAATCACTTATTGGGGTTGTAGTCAAGGGGATTCAGTCCTCTGAAACTCCTTCCATCTGTGGATCTGATTCTTGGTCACTAACTGGTTTTCAGGGCATATGTAGCCAGGAATTGTAGGGAGGAAGGAAACTAATCCCTCTTTAATGTCTACTTTGAGTCACGTAGTGTTTTGCATTCATATATGTTCATTTTCTTAATCTTCACAACGAGCTTTCTAAGTAGCTGTTATTCTCAGTTTACCCATGAGTTCACAAAGGTTGGGTAACAAGCTCCAAGCCATGCAGACAGTAGGCAGCACAACTGCAACTGTTACACCATCTCTCATCTCCAGGTGATTGGGCAGATGATCACACAATTTGTTCCCCAGCTTCTCCCCAGTGTAGGCAGCGTCTTGCACTGTTCAGTGAGTCTTCAGGACAAGTAACTCCCATTATCCTCCTAGTCAGACTAACAGTGAGGGATGAAGCTGCAACGGAGGCCCAAGGCAGCTAGAAGGATGCCTGCTAGGAGAAAGGCATTTTGGTTGGCACCTCTTCATGAAGGCCCCAGAGTTCCAGAGCTTTGCATAACAGGCAGATTCCCATTGAACAATGAGGCCACACTTTGCTTCCAAAATTGCTCAGTTTAAAGGTTCACTCTGGATGAAGAGACTTGGGATTCAATTTTGAGACAAGCTTGAACAATACTGGTTTGTGAAGGAAGAGGCTGGGACGATGGGGTCTAGAGAAATGGTCAACATCTGGAGCTCAAGCAGTTTGTGCTGCTCAAAGTCAGCAAGATCATTTGATGTTCTTGAGTGAATGGCCATTTCTATCAGGAGCCAGCCAGTTTCGGGTGCCCCACAGAGCATGAGCCAGCCTCCCCTTGGGGGAGAGGGGAATGTGCTAAAGGCGAACTCCAGGGATGTCATCCTACTCCCACACCTTCTGCGTTTCCCAAGATGAGCCCTCCTCCTGCCCTGCTGTTACCGATCAGATGAAACACGTTCCCCAAGTCTGTACTGTATCCATGACTACATTTCTGCTTCCTGAAAAGTTGTGGCCATAGGGATGTAAAACTCACCAGTCAGCTGTGGTCTCTGTAAGGCATGTCATTTTCCTACTCTGGGATCTTGCAATAGCTACCAGTCACCCACAGAATTAAGTACCAGCTCCCGGGTTCCTTTTCAGCCCCTTCACCCACTCCCTACACCCATTCTGGTCACGTCAGATTCCTCTTTCCTTGGCTAGATTCCTCTCTGCCCTGCTTCTAATCCTGTGTGGTTTCCTCTGCCAGAACACTCTCCCAACCCCTGCGCCTCAATTCAAAGTTTCATCTTCCCTCAAAGTACAGCTTTGGTGATTAAGATCACAGAGCAAAACTGACTTTAGCAAACTCTATTACAAGACAAGCACGGTCCAAAGCAGTTGGGTAAATAGGGTGGCTTTAAGTTCACTTCTAGTTCAGAGGTCACACTGGGGATTGGAATCCCTGCAGAGACCTGTGAAACCAACCTGCTTCCGTGAGGCACCCCCTTCATGCTGCTGGACTTGAACTGCCCCTTAGGAGCAATTGGGCAGCTGCAGCTGAGTCACACAGGCTGCTGGGGGACAGCCAGGAACAGAACTGTGTTTCTTGACATTTCCCCCAGATCCTCTCGTGGCAGACTTCTGTGGCTGTGCTGGGATTCAGACATATCTCTGTGCTCCATGGTGAGATACTTCAGTTCACTCAATCAGGATTTATTCATTCAGGTGTTCCCCCTACCCTCGCTCCAAAAAAAATCCTCAAATGGGATTTCAGTGCTTAAATTGAACGCCTCCCACCATGCCTCTTACCCTTTGTGTGCTTTCAGGTACCTCCTGAAGCAGACAGTCCCCTTTACCCGCAAACCCTGCCCCAGCACACACCTTGCCAGGTTGGAGCAAGTCCTGGTACCTAGAGCAATTTGCTTTGTTTGCCCTTGCAATACCAATGATCTTGCAAACACCTGGTTCATCAAACAGTCCTCTCCTAACTTCCAGCAGAAAACTCAAGTGGGTGACTGGAGGGCAGGAGTCAGTTCCCATCAGTACCTGTGATCGTGTCCCAGACCCCCAGAACGTTGGCCCAGCCCTCTCCTAGGCTTAGTCAGTTCTGGCAGAATAGAGCTTCATGGCGATCCAAACATATCAGCTGTTTGTTTGATGAACTCGTTCCTGGCACCTAGCAGATAGTCAGAGTCCAGGCGAATTTAAAGCGAAAGGGAAAAGAAGGTCCAAAGTCCTTTAGATTGTATCTCAAAGCAAGAGTGGTTTGTGAACTTCTAATCTTCAGAACAAACTTGGGGCCTGTCCAGGTCTGTCCACAGGACCCCACGTCTTAGCTCCATTCTGAGCCATGGTGCCGACCAGCCAAGCTCTGTGACAGCTCCTTGTTCCTCATTTTCATGGGCAGCCTCGGCAGAAGCTTAAATTCCAGTCATGGGTGTCACTGCAGGTTGATCCCTGCTCAGATCCTGACAAATGCTTGACGGCTCGGAGCTGTTGAGCTGTCTCCAGAAAGTGTTACTCATCAGAGGTCAAGTCCACTGGCTTCACAGACCACTTGTGCACCTGGGATCTGAGCATCTGCATGTTATCTTTGTTCCTTTCAAGGTTTACATCTTCAGGGTCCCACTGTGGAGAAAAGATACAAGAGATACCTTGATGGAATAGACCCTTTTCGTCTCTTATGATTCCCCCAACAAGAGCTCCAATCCTGGTTCTCACGGCCCAGGCCCAGACGAACAAACAGATAAAGACAGGTTAACCAGGCCTGTATTTCTAGGACCTAATAGGACAAGTAAAACTTAAATCAAGGAATTAATGGACAGCCACCCTGAACAGACCAGACCTACTTCCCCTCCCACTCTTTTTTCCCCCTGTCTTCACCAAGTCCTTCTCTAGTGAGGCTGAGTCATATTCCCATTATCCTGAGAACTCCTACCTCCATGCCTAACTCGTTCCTGGAAAAGACCAGGCAAATTCAAACCATTCTTCAGGGCCCAGGTAAGTTCCTCCTCTTCCAAGAAGAGGGCTGCTTCCCCCACTGAGCTCTCACCCCCTTCTCTCTTTGTACTGTGTGTACCACTGGTTTGCAGCTAAGCGACGCGCAGCCGTGCCCTGTCTCTGGGTATCTGCCTTGTCCTCTCACGTAGGTGACACAACTCCTTAAGAGCAGGGCACTGGTCTGCCCTTGCCCCCACATGGTGTTTCCTTCTGAGGTTAGCAGACTAGTCAAAAACAAACACTTAAAACTTAATTCAGAGTTGTCACTGCTAGTGAATATTTCATCGCTCTGAGTCAGACAAGTGTGGTAAATTGAAATTTGCAAGGGTAGGAGTAAAGGGTTAAAGAAAGCAGGTGGGCACACAAGCATTGATTGGCTGTTTGCAAAGTCCTCCTATTGTTCTTAACAGATGAGAGAGGACTTTGCATGTGGGCCAAAAGCAAGGGAATCCTTAGTGATTCCAGCCACAGGGGCAAATGGGGCATCAGGCTTAAGCCCTCCTTCTGCCACTGGCTGGCTTGCTTTTCTTTTGATCTTGATTCCTCCATGTGTACATTGGGAGGCTGAATTGGCAACTAGATAATACGATCTCTTATTTCTGAGTTTCTATGACTGATGATTCTGAGTCATAAGGTTGCATTTGATAGTAACAAAAGGCCCAGGAAACAAGCAAAGGACATGAAGGATGTGTCAGCCCAGGCCAGTCTATTTGGGCAAGAAAATAGGGCCAGGCACGGACATGGACCCAAAGAAAAATGCTCTACCAGCCACTGAAACCTGAGTGGAATCAAAGAGTCTAGTCCTTAGAGGGCCAGGACAAGATCCCAGAGGCTCCCTGAGCCACTAACAGATGATGCCTACATGCTGCCAGTTTTAAAACACACATTGTAGTTTTATTTTGAACAAGCACAATTCGATTAGTGATTTACTGATAATAACCGAATTAAGTTCTACTACTTGGTCGTTAAGAAAAGCATCACATTTAAAAGACCCAGTAACCCTGCAGGCCAGGGACTAAGCTGATTTGGTTGGTGCAGCTCAGCCCCGCGTACCTGTTTGGGGCTGTGCCAGGCACTCCCAGTGCCAACTTCTCATGTGTTTGTGGTTGCAGGCTTGGGGGGACACACCTCTAAGCAAATTCCTTCTGGACGTTATCAGATCTCCCAAGTGAAAGAGCTCCCTGGCTCCTCATTATCTGTGGCCCAGATGCCCAGGGGTGGGAGTGGGGACCTGTTCTGTCCTCTGAGCATGGACAGTGTACTTTTGGATGAATTCTGTTTTCAAGCTGAGACCTCCATTCTAGATCTCTCAGTTCTCGACCAACCTCACCAGAGGGCCCTCATTAAAAAAGTTGATGCCGGGGACCCACCCTAGACCCTGTGCATGGGTTGGGACCTAAGGCTTGGCATTTGAACAAGCTCCTAGGGTGACTCTTAGCTGATATTTCATAACCGCTGCTTCAGCTCCTAAAATGGCTTCTTAAGAGTTATTCTTGCTACTCCTGACCAATTCAGCTCCGGGCAAACAGCAACAGCCCGCTACTTTGATCAGGTGCACTCCTGGAAGTGGGTTAAGCCTTTGAAAACATTTTATCTCTTCCTTCTGAACTCCCAGAATAATGTGTTTTAAAATGTCATTTTAAGTAATAAAAACGCTGCTGGAATCCAGGCATTCAGAGAATTTGAGCAAAAGATAATCTACTCCCTTAGTAGAAAAAGTCCTGGGAGATGACAGGCACAGGTGGCTGTTGTGAAGCATGCTCATTCATCACGTGGAGGCGAGGATGGCATGGAGGGAGCAGCAGCTGCCAAGGTCTCACAATGACGACGCGGGGGAGTGTTGATCTCAACTGCCGAGGTCACTCCCGGCACCACTACCATTAGCAACCTGCCTTTCTTCTGCTTCTTCAGAGACTTTTGTTCCAAGCCACGTTTTCCCCCTGGATTACACATCTTCTCTGAGTCCCTACATGATGGATTGGACCAAACAGAAAGAACTCTCAACTGAGAGAGCCCAGAAAATACCCTGACCCTCAGACCCTCCTTTCATTTTCACATTTTTTTTTTCTCCTAAAGGAATCTGGCATGGGCCCAGCCATCCAAGCGGGGCTCACAGAAACAGGAACTGAAATCAAGCCACAGGAAGTCCCGTGTGGAATAAAGAGAGAGCATGACTGTTCATACCTGCTCCAGGTTTAGGGCTTCCCAAATACTTCTGCTACAGAATAAAAAGAAAGATTAAACAAAAAAGTGTTGAATAGATTTTGCCACCGTCACAGAGCAGAGCAGAGCTGGGCGCCAGCCCCTGTCTGCTCAGTGAGCCAGGAGGCAGTCCCTCCACTGGTCTGGAGGCAAAGGAACAGCTGACTTCAGCAAGCAAAAAGGCAGCAGCTACAAGCGGTGACAATTTAGTTAAATGGTCAATGGGATAATTGTGATAATTATGAAGGGCTACAGGTCCTTGAAAAAATGATTATCTACACAAATCTTTAAATTACTATTATTAGAAATTATTACTATTAGGCATAATAATAATAATAATAATAATAATAATAATAATAATAATAATAAATCCATTACTAACCACATGGCTGAGATGAGTCAGCTCAAATCCATAAAACTAAGAAAGAGAGACGCAAGTGAAACCCTCACTTGAAAATAAGGGGCATGTGCTATCAGCCAAGATTCATTTTTAATCAGCCTTTATTGCATGGCTGGTTCCACCCCAAGCCTCAAATATGTCTGACTCAGGTTCCTGAAGTGTGGCATCGCCGTCTGCTCCCATTCCTCCAGTGCCTCCTGCAGTGCCTGGGAGATGTGTGTGTGTGTGTGACACAGAGCTATGAATCTGCAAGTGTCTGTTACACTGATCTGTGAATGTCTATTACATTGAATAGCTGCCAATCTGAACAGTACACAGAATTTGGCATTATTGTCACACTAAAACAAAGCCCCTACTGTTCAATTCTTTTAAATTTCCATTTTGAACAACTCCTGTTTGTTTGCTTTTGTTTTGTCTTTCTGAGCTTTTTGAGGGCCCCAGTTTAACTCAACGTTGAGCCTTCAGGGCCTGGAGTACACTCAGCTGGCGTGGAGTGCACTCAGCAAATGTCTGCTGTGTGTGTGTGTAGCTGTGTATCTGAGTTAAAATTGTAAAATCTTTACTGAATACCTCTATTTGTCCATTGATAACTGCTAGCCCAGAGATGGGGCTCTGCTCTGGAGCCCACACAAGTGCCACTCTGGGCCAGAGCTGGAGGTGGGGATGGAGTGGGCAGAGCAGAGAGGTGTCCAAAGCTGTGCTGGCAGAGCCATGCCCCAAGCTCAGTGCCTGGCCAACTGGTAGCCCTGGGGCAAAGGGCAGAGGTCCCACTCTGGAAGTGAGGAGGGCAGGGCAGGGGTGCCAAAGCTGGGTCCTCGCTCAGTGCCCCTCACATGCGTTCCCTGCCCCCCCCACCATGGGCAAGATGTGGTGCCCTGCAGGAGGGTGGGCATTATATGGGGTGGGGGGCAGCTGAAACGCAGCCCAACATTTGTCTCCCCAGTTCTTCCCTTCTTACCTCCCCCTCCCACCTGCCCCTCCAGGTCACGTGCTTCCAGCTGGGCACCTATGAACTCTTTCCCCCTTTCCGCAAGAGGACACATTAGACATGGCCAACTCCAGTCACCACTGACTTCAGCTGTATACCACGCCTTTTCCTTTTGATTAACTTCTTAATTGTAAGATTCTTCAGCCATATCCAAAAGTAAAAGAATAATCTGATGACTCTCCATGAACACATCCTTTCATTTGCTCTAATTCCCCCAAGTTTTTATGTGCTGAAGTATTTTAAAGCAAATGATTTCATCTGTAAATACTTCAGTATGTATCTCGTAGATGACTTTTAAAAACTCCTAAGCACAGTGCCATTATTACACCTAACAAACTGTGGTAATTCCATAGCATTCATCTTTTAATGCCATCTTGCTGGAGGAAACATAAACTAAAAAAAAAATTAATTGGAGAAGATTAACAAAGTTACTAAAAATGATGGTTCCACACACACTGCAAAAGACAAAAATATTGATGCTAACATAGAGATTGGAAAAGTTAAATAACCTTTGCAAATGTAATGGAATTAAAAAAAAGAGATAACAGAAAAAAATGCTAATCTTCACCTTTCTTTAGAAAATACAGATGTTCATTTAAAATATAATTGGTAATCTGTGGTTACCACAATGAATGAGTGTTTTGTTAGAAAAAAAAATTACTAAATACAATGTGATATACTGGATTGTATCCTGGAACAGAATAAGAACATTAAAGGAAAAACTGGTCAAATCCAAATAAAGTCTGCACTTTAGTTAATACTAATGTACTAGTGTTAACTGCTCAGTTAGATAAACAAGTTTATACCGTATAGCACAGGGAACTATATACAATATCTTGTGTAACCTTTAATGAAAAGAATATGAAAGGAATGTGTGTGTGTGTGTGTGTGTGTGTGTGACTGAAGCATTACGCTATACACCAGAAACTGACACAACATTGTAAACTGACTATACTTCAATTAAAAAAAAAGTCCGCCAACTGGATTTGAAATGAAACCTTGAAACTTCCTTTCCAAAAACTTCAGCATCGTCTAAAA